AAAGTTTCCTGCACTGCTCAAGATCAGGCAGCTGTGGGTCTGTCAGGAGGGTGGTCCCATTACTCTTCTGAGGAGTGTGGGATGGTATGCTGCAGATAGATTTTTTGTTTAAAATCTACAGGAACACAAATCTAAGATGTGTACAGGATTCGATGAGCACTTCATCTATTCCACTTTCTGAAGTCAACATTTACTTGACATTAAGCCTCCGTGAAAGCAACTGGGTGCTCTGTTGAGGATCCATCAGCTTCCCTGTATGGTAGCATGAGTGTCAACCCAGTGAGGTTCAGGAGAGTCACAAAAGATAGTAATGTTTAGTAATGTTTTATTTTGCATAGCTGAGTTTTTTAATGATGTTAAAAATCATTTTATATGTCACAGCAACAGGCAAGATAGAAGCCACATGTATTTAAATCAAAGCTATGTAAGCAGCCTCCTGTTACCTTTCCTGGGTTAAGTAAATTCTTCAACATACTGGAGAAAGTGCAGTGGAGGGGCACCAAAATGAAGAGAGACTTAGAGAACCATCTTTGTTCAGCTGTAATAGAATAGGAGATTTTATTGCCGTCTTCAGCTGCAGACTTCTTCTCAGAGGTACATAGTGATAAGAGTTGACAGACACAAATCCCAAGACAGGAAATTCTGATCAGAAACACAGAAGCAGGTGCCCAGAGAGGTAGAATTTCCATCCTCAAAGATATTCAAAACTCAGCTGGACAAAGACCTGAGCAGCCCAATCTCTCTGGACCTGCTCTGAGCCAGGGGTTGAGCTAGATGACCTCCAGAAGTCCCTTCCAACAAAAATTACTCTAAGATTTTATGATAAATGACTACTGTATCATTAATCCAGTTTAAATTGATAAAAGTTATTTTCACAGTACTAATGCTTCCACAAACAAATAAGAAATTTAAACCCAATCCAGACTTGATCAAGTGAGTGGGAATCTTGAGTTTAACTTGAAAAGGCATTGCGATCACCTTCAATGCTTTTAGGACTTGTGTTTCAGAAAAGATCCTAACCTTTATTCTTGTAGACAACACTAGAAATTGCATCAGAGTGGTGTTGCTTCTTACTGTGGGTTTCTCAGTAGGTTGCTTTCACAGCGAGGTAAGAATGAAGCATTCCACAATCACTATCTTTGAGTATTCACAAATTCTACCTAGAGAGTTAGCAGCAGAATGAAATGTTTGCTCAGGGCTCTGAAGGTATGTAACTTCACTTTTGAGTTTGCACTTGCAGGAAAATTCGTATTTCCTGACTGCTATTGGTAATGAGCCTCTCATCTAACTTGGGTTCAGCTCAGGTCAACTGCTACTTTCATGTTGAGACACTGTCTATATTAATTGAAATTTATGCCATAGAGTGGCAATCTTGTGACCTCTGTAGAGTGAGGTAATGATTGCAGTCCTGTTTTCAGCAGGCTGCTGTGAATTAACATCATCCGTGCTTTCCTTTTTTCAACTCATCGTTTTTCTCATCTTTGTAAAACAAGCTTTTTTCCTCTTGTCACTTAGAAGGGATTATATTATTTATTTTGAACATAAAGTAAAACAACATGAAGGAGTAATTAGAATATGACATGATAAATGTCAAGTCGTGGCCAATTATTTTGATTTTTCCTATAAAGGTTAAAAAATGCAAAAATGAAGTGTGTGTGTAAAAATATAATGTATGCCTTTACACACACAAATATAATGGAAACACAGATTTATCTTAATAAATACATGAGTAATATGCTACAATGAATGAAACCAAATAAGAAAGCAAACATATCTCAAGTCCTTAAAAGAAATCACATTCCCAAATCTCTCAAGAAGTAACTGGACTCCTAATCCATTGGATTAACTGAAGTTTCCTGAGAAAGAAGGATAGCTTTCTGTTCAGGGTGGAGACTTAGACTATCTCCAAGTAGCATCCACGGTTTGAATAATACTCTGATATGAAGCTGCACCACCTCACTTGCACTTAAATGTTCTACAAAAGATCTAATGTGACCTGTAATATTAGATTTTCTTTCCCTGATAGGTTCCTCCTCTTGAAACTCTGATCTTGAACTGCACAACAAGCAGGTTTTTTTCATAATGGCCCTTATTGCTTTGCTAATATTTTGTTCTGCTACATACCCAAAGAAACACAACACTGTCATGGCGGGGGGAGGGTTGCCATAAAAATGCTAAAAATCCAAATCACTATTTGTTTTGCTTTCCTAAGAAAACCATCACATATAGCTTGTGATCTCATATCCATTTTTATCACGTCCCTTATGCCAGCAAACATGAAACAATGTCTTTACTTCTTACAGTCATACCACATCAGCATCTATGTCATGAAACTAAATTTAAACTTCAGTTATATTGTCAACTAAAAAAGACAAAAGTGGTGAAATCCAGCTCCAGAACAGGATTATCCTTTAAATCCTGGACTCTCCAGAATCCTTGGTACTGTGTAAAACCTATTTTGCAAAATACAAAGCAATGTTCATATTTCAAATATCTCCACACATTGGCTATTTGATTCTGACAAGTTGCTTTTAGTTTAATTTAACTGACACAAAAGAGTTATCTCCTCAACTGTCTCCCAGCTGATGGGCTTGTTAAAAGAGACAACTGATTGAACACATTTATATGAATGTAGCAAAAAGTAACTTGTGTTTGGTTGTATGAAGAAGGCAACTAGGTCCAGCTATTTAAAGAAAAAAAGGATTAGTAATACAAAAAAAATGAATTTACATAATATAAATCTTATCCTCTCATCAGAAGTAATCTCCTTCACATCTGGAAATTCCAGTCTTTATCGAATTTCAGAATCTCTTGCTTGAATGTTAAGAGTTATAAAACTCTAAGAGCATCATAAGACTCCTGATGACTCAGTATGAAGTATTCTTATGCATCAACAGTCTGACATGTAATTTTAGCTGTGATTGCTAAACTAATTTTTAGGTTAAACAACTGACAATTGTGGGCAGACCCATTAAAATTGGCTGGGACAACAGCCGTTTTTACAACATGCTAATGACTAAGGGTTTGATCCTGCAACGCTGAGGTCAATGGAAGCTTTGTCACTGACTTCACTGAGGATACCGGCCTTCATGCACAGACTACTAATGGCAAATGAAAACAGCAACTTACATATACCCTTGCATTTTTAAAACAGAAGGACAGTCTAATGAATGCAATAGGCTAAAGCCCAGCTCATAAAATATTCTGGTTGTTCTCTACTTCACAGCTTGTCTTATAGCAAAAGAAGATCTTGTCAAGAAAATTAAACTTTCAGCAATTGACCACAAAGACACTGTAAGCACTCGCCACTGACAGATGAAGATTCAATAAAGTTTGTCGCCTTCCGGTTGGAAAGAACCATAGAAAGGTGTTTGTGCTGGAGTCCTGTCACGTGGGAATTGGACGCAGCCTTTAGAATACTCCCTGTTTTCTACTGATGTTGCTTTAAGCTGTTTCTATGCTGAAGAGTAATGCACATGGTCCCTGTGAGACCGTTTACATTGTCCCATCATGAATCTTGTAGACAACACAAGGGCCAAAATTAACTGGCATACCCTGGCAGCACTTCTGCAGACATCAAACATGGCTATTTTGTCCCTTTTTATATAACAAGTTCAGGACACACAGGCTTTCTGGCAAGACTTTTCCGTTTCAACTACTGAGGCAGATGAGATTCTGAAGCGAGGGGGAAAAAAAAAATACGTAAATGGTCCTCTTTTTCCCCCTCATTTTTAGTTTTCTTTAAAGTGCTTGCAGCCTATATTGATGTTCCTTTTTAATTTCCTCATTTCACATGCAAAGTAAATTTTCCTGGCCACCACAGGTCTTCAGTGACATTTTGCTACAGATAGGAGGAACCATGTGAAATGCAGGTGATTTGCAGATAAGCTCTGAAAACCCTAACAAACTGCATTTATCTTCCTGAGCTGCCTGAATTTTTGTCATCTTACTTTGGACTTTTGTAGAAACTGGGAGGTGCCATGCTCTTCTCATATTTGACATACAGAAAAGTAGAAGAATGGAGGGACAAAAGCAGTAACAATATTCTAGAATAAAGCTTTAGATTAATTTTCAGCATAAAAGGATTTTCCCTCTACTGATATTTTGGTCTTTATTGTACTTTGCTTTTGCTGATTTTCCTGAATTGCAGGTTACTTCCATCAGCAAATTCTCACTGGAAAAATAGAACTCATGACTGAGCATTGCTTTCTTTCTCTTACAGCTAGAATAAGAAAACCACATTGTGATGCCCTAATGATTATGTACCTCATTTCGCATATTGAAAATTACTAGCATTTGTCTTTTAACAAAAGTCTTGTTTGAATGTTGTTTTAAAAAGCTATCAGGAGAGCATACATCTCATCTCAGAGGGACCAAACTGTGGCAGTTTGCACAGCACTTTTCAAGACTCTAGCAGAATTATATCAGAACTGCTGCATTTCAAGAACGCAGGACGTTTGCATGTGATGTTCTTCTGAAGAACAAAGCCTTTGTGACATCTTTCAGATAAATTCAGTTTGGATACAGGATATACCCTAGGTGTGCGCTTTTGATGATTTAAACATCATGTGATTATTAATCACAGCTACAGTACTGGCATTTTATGGAGTTCCCAATGGCACAGCTGCCCTAGCAGATACCTACAGATGTCATCACACCAGGGTGTTGCAGGAATAGTACCAAGGAGACGTAAAGCCTGCAGCGTAGTCATCCAGCTGGCTTTTAGATTCCAAAAATAGGTACAGCTCACTGGAGAAGAGACAGGGCAGGGCATCAGTACTTCACAAGCCAAGTATAAAGCTCTGGCAAGTTCATGATCACACTATTACAGGCCACACATATCATTAACATGAAGATTTCTATTAGATAACCCCTAAGCACCACAGGTAACTAATTTTAGCCATCTACAAATTAAGGGTCAAGTTTAGGTGGTCATCTCAATTTATTCTGTAGTCACAGAAACTATAGGAGAGAAAAAGTCCCCTCAGAGGGCAACTCACCCAAGCTGCTTTCGACAACAATGTGAGCATGGGAGTCATGATCCTCTGAAGGTGCCAGTCTCCTTCCGCTGAACCAAGGCAGCCTGGAAAACAGCTTGATTATATGTCTAATATTCAGATTAGTATTATTAGGTGATACAAATCCTGTTCCAAACAAAACAAAACCCATCTGTCTACCAGCTTTTCAGGCTGCAGAGTAATTTCGAATATATTATTTCCCACCTATATCAGATATTCATGGCAGACAATATAGGAGAAGAGAAACCAAGATGCTGAGTAAGGGAAGGTGAAACAAAAAAGCTCTGCTTTTTCTGACCTTTTGAGTAAACTACATGTGAGACACTGAAAGAAGGACAGCTTTTTCACTTAGCGATCAAGAAATCTAAATCATGCAACACAGCAGTTAATATTTGTACTAAATGTCCCCTGCTTAAGGAACACAGAGACAAAATTTCGATACCTCATGATATACCTTATAATAAAAGAAGTTTAACCAACTGGTATTAAAACTGAAAGAGTTAAAAGGAACATTGTGCAATACCAACATGCAGAATGACAGCAGACTCATACAGAATATGGCCATTATGATGGAAACTGATTCCAAAATGCAGTTAAGTTGCCATGTGACCCCAGTAGCAACTGCAGACCCATATTCCCTTTTTATGGGAAATGATGTAATGGGGAACAGCTTCATCGAGCAAAGTGCGGAATTGTCTAAATTGACAGTTTTAATGAATGCATTGGAGAAAATAACCCTCCTGTCTGCAATAACCAAGTGTGCAGAGGTGGCAAATATCCATTTATTTAGATACATAGACTTTTTTTGAAAAACTTGGCAAATACCATCCATCTAAAGACAGGAAGCAGGAAAAAAATCTCTAAAAATAATCTCTAAAAATATACTGTGAAACAGCACATCATTTTAAAAATGTTTTCTTATGTTAATAGAAATTTCTTGTTCCAACCAGTAAAATATAATTCTTCTCAATAATTCAGTTATGGTTTATGATGCAGTGTTGAAAGAGTTTTGCAATGGTTCTTGTTACTGCCTCCTTGACAGCAGTGCTAATGACTCTAGTGACTACAGGTCCCAATCACCTGTATCCTATCTTGAGCTACAATTAAAGAGAAAATAGAGAGTTGTATGCTGGGAGATGTAGTCTCATCAGCTACAAATATGCATCGTAGAGGCATACCTTACATGCAGCTGGTTTATCCTAATTAAATGTGATGTTTGAATTTCTTGTAAATATTTATTGCCACTGTCAGTACAACAGACCAGGCAAAACTAGCAAACTAAATACAACGTTACACTTCAAGAAAATACTGTGGTAATTTGACTCCATCCAATTTCCCAAGAAAAACATATAAATAGAAACTGACAGCAGCAAACTCTCTGCTGTCATTACATTCCTGCAGCTTAAAACTAGGGCATCACAAAAAAAAAAAAAAGCTGGGCCATGTTTTCATTCATTTTTACTAAAAAAAACCCAAACACACAAAAACATAGCTGTAGGTAACAGAATCTAAATGAAATCCGCAATTGTATATAATTCAAAGTGTTAAGAGAGGTTTCTTAAAGTGGAAAAGCAGGGTGAAAATTAAATTTAAGTGTAAAGGTTAAAGAAGCATGGCACATGCCTGCAGGAACAAATCTGCCTAACCTCTATCTTGTCTGTACATTGTAGAAGTTTGTGGGGTTTTTTTTTGGGGGGGGGGGAATGGCGGGAAAAGCAGTTTTAAAAATCTGAATGGCATCTAAATTATAACCAATTGTCTTTGGATACCAAAAGGAAATTAAAAATTGCATTGATGAATTGATGGGAATTCCTCCATGACTTTCCAAAGTCTCCCTTTCATTGTGCAATATACTGCATACTTTCTGCTCCTTTGCAACATGTTTTCAGAAGTTTGCATTTCAATCTCCCTCCCTAAAGGTTTGTTTCCGCTAACAGATTTTGCTGCACTTAACTACGATTGAAAGGCCTGAAATAGTTAACACTGAGCCCTAGTGAGCGGCGTTCAGTATCATGCTAACAAACACGATTGGGATGAATGCAGCGAGATCGGGTCCAAACATACCATTCAGTCACAGTCAGCAATGGAAACTGGAGATTTTGTAATCACACTGAAACACGGTCAGTTTTATCTATTACAGGAAAGCCCTACAACGATGAGGTTTTGTTATATTTGTTAGAGGTTTTTTAGCTATCTCCGGGTAGGGCTTTGCTGTTTTTGTAGGTCTTATCTGCGCAAGAGCGCTCAATTAACTGCCTTCAGTCATTGGCACGCTCAGGATGGAGTTGCACTGATTGTTATCTGCAATGGCTAGGGGAACATAACCAGCAATTTGAGGGCTTTCCAAACATTCAGTTCAGGGAAACCTTAACTTATTGCTGTTTCCTCTGATTGCCACTAAAGTTGGGAACTATCTACACAACCTTCCCGATTCTTCAGCTAAGTACCCACCTCACCTTTCCCAAGTCCTCTTCAGTATGTCTCCCTCTGTAGTCAACTCCTTCTTCACAGCCTCAAAACTACTACTCATTACTAATCTTCCCCTTGAAAGCACTCCTTGTCGCTCCCAGTCCACCTCAGAAATCCCCAGACCGTGATTTCACCGTGGTTTGCTGGGATTAGCTGCACGGAAAGACCCTGCTGGAGTCACCCCTCTCCCAGCCAGGCCCCACTCCTGCCGCAGCCTCCTCGAGCATCCCCCCCCCCCCCATTCAGCCAAAATAGAGGTTTGCCTGATAACTTGTCCTCTAAATTTGTTCCTTGCAAACTGGCGGGGGGAATCGCTCCCCGAACACACTCCCATCCCCTTTTGTCAACAGGCCAGCCTTCATCAAAGCGTAGCTGAAAATCATGGGATTATTAAACCCATTATGCGTTCATTACGCGTAATCCGCTGCTGATTTTGCCAGCAGTTGAGCTACACTTTCAGCGGGGAAGCCTGCGGGGCTCTGGTTTAGGCGGGTAAGAGGATATCCCAGCGCGTCCCTGCGGCCGTGGGGACGGGAGGCGAGCAGGGCGGTTTTTCCTCAGCCCGGCCCCACTCCCGTCACCGCCTCAGGGAGACACGGGGCACGCCGCTGCGGCGGATCCCGCCGGGGCCCCGGCCCCGCTGACCAGCCCCTACGGCCCCAAATGAGCTTGAGCCGCCGCGGGCCGGGAGCTGAACCAGGAGCGGAGCCGCCGCAGCCCGCCCCGCGGCCTCCCCCCTCAGGGAAGGCGGTAGGGCCGATGACGTATTTACCACCCCCCCCCCCCCGCCCAAGCGCGTGCCTCTCCCACGCGTTCCGCGCATGCTCAGTGCGGCCCAGCTCGGGGCTGGGGGGGAGGGCGGGCACGGGACGGAGGGTGATGTAATACCGCTAACGGCCTCGCTCCGGCCGCCCGTGCCCCCCCCCCCCCCCCCCGCAGCTCTCCCAGCCCCAACATCCGGGTATCCCGCCCGCTACGCCAGAGGCGGGTTTTTCCCCTGAAAAAGCAGCGTTTGTCGCATTTTGTAGTTTGTTTGGTTTTTTTTTTTGGGGTGGGGGGGTTTGTTCTTTTTTGTTTTAGTTTGTGTTTTGCTTTTTTTTTTTTTTTTTTTTTTTAACGGGGGAGGGGCGGCCAGCGCGTGCGCACGCCTCCCCGGCCGGGAGGGAAATGAGCGGCGAGGAGGAGGCGCGCGCACGCCCGTCTCCCCCCCCCCCCCCCTCCCTTACGGCGCGCGCGCGGCGGCGGGGAGCGGCGGCAGGCAGAGCGCGCGGCGGCGGCGCCCGGCGCGCCTGCGCAGAAGGGAAGCGAAGCGAGGAGGAGGAGGAGGAGGCGGCGCAGTGCGTGTGTGTGTCTGTCTGCGGCGGGGGGGGGAGGAGGAGGAGGAGGAGGAGGAGGAGGAGGAGGAGGACAGGCGAGGCGCGGACGACGCTCCGCGGCGCTGCGCGAGTGGGCGCGGAGCTCGCGTCGGGCGGGAAGGGGGCCGGGGAACGGGGGAGGAGGAGGAGGGGGGAGCCGGCGGCGGCCGAGCGGGGTTGAGGCGAGATGAGCGCTGGGCTGCCGCTGGGCAGAGAGCCGCCCTCCGCAGCCGCCGCCTGTGAATGAACTGAGGCGAGGCCGCCAGCCGGGTGCCCCCCCTCCTCCTCCTCCTCCTCCTCCTTCTCCCCCAGCCCACCCGCCCGCCGCCGGCCCCACCGCGGACGTCCCCGCCTGCCCCCGGCCTCCCCCCCCCCCCCCCTCCCTCCCTCCCCCCCTCTTCCCCTCACGCACCTTCGGGAGCGCGGAGCGCGGCCCTGCCCGCCACAGCCGGCGCCGTCCGCCGCGGCCGGGGGGGGGTAAGTGGCGCTGCGCAGTGCGGGGCCTCCGGGGTGAGGGGGTGGCGGCGGGACCGGGCGACGCCGGGGCGCTTGGAGGGCCGCGGCCGCCGCCGCTTGGGCCCCGGGGCCTGTAAACAAGCGCGGGGGCTGCTCTCCCTCGGCTCCGCGGGGGGGGTGGGGGGTGGGGGGGGGCATTCCTCTTGTAGCCCAGGCGAGGAGCGAGGCGCCATCCCCGGCAGCTGGTACCAGGTCGGGGCGGTGAGAGGGAGGGAAATGGGAAGGGGGGCGGGGGAGGCGTTGCGGGTGGGAAACTGCTTGGGATGCTGCTGCCGGGAACCCCCCCCCCCCCCCCAGCTCGTCCCGGGGCTGGAGGGGGCCTGGCCGCGGGGCTCCGCTGCGCAGCCCCTGCATTGCAGGCGCCTTTGCGAAAGGGTGGGGGGTGGCACGGCAGCCCCTTCGGGCTGGGCATGGGGAAGGAAAGGGAGGAGGAGGGCGAGCAGAGGGGTTTGGGCCTGGCTCAGGTAGCAGCAGATTTCCTGCCCCCCCCTCCTCTTCACCGATTCAGAGTTCATTTAATAATGGCTATAAACAGCCTCCTCTCCCATCGCCACCCAAACGCTTGGGGCACGGCAGTGGGAAAAAAAAAAAAAAAAAAGCACGCATCTATTTATAAAGCACCCCACCCTAGCGAGGGTCGGAGCATCAAGCACTCCCCAAATAGTGACATTATTATGCAGCGGGCGGTTTTCCTTTGCCAACGCCTTTCAGGCGTTTAAAGTTTGAGAGGGATTTCACTGCCTTTGAAAACAATGTCGTGAGCAAAGGTTACGCTGATGGTCATAGCGTGCATGTTAAAAGAAGATAGACTTAAATGCTCTCCTCCATTAAAAAGTTGTCCAGTGATGTACTGGATAATTGGGCTTGCGTGTTAAATGCCAGAAGTTTTGAGCATATGTCTAACCTTTTCATGACATTTGCTTGTATTGTAGTAGATATGATACAGCCTTAAGACTGGCTGCAGGTTAGTAGTTTCAGAATTGTTTTTATAGACATCTGTTTGATATGTATTTGGACTTACTTAGTACAATTAAAATATTTCAGTGTTGCCATATGTATGGCAAAATTTTGTTGTTGCAAAACTAATGTTTAAGTTTACAGTAGTACTTGTCAGGAACTATTTTTTTTTTTTTTTTGAGTTGTAGCTTTTGTCAAATGACAAAGTGCTGGTCATTCAGATGGTCTGTGCAGTAACCTCAGGGTTTAAGGTCCTGTGTGTCCTACAGAGGAATCTTATTTTAAGCAGAAGGCAGTTTTAGATCCTGAGAGCAGTAGGTTTGAAGGTAGGTGATATGTTTTCCTTAGACTGTGTTGTTTAACATCAGAGTAAGTAGAATCATTTTATTCAGTAGGAGTTCTAACTCTTGTGATTCTAGGGAATTACTTTCCAAATACGAGCCTGTGTAGTACTTCCCTAAGCCTGTACATGTACTGTTTCAGGGGTTAGGTGGCTGAAGCAGGATTTGTGAAGCACTAGTGGAATTAAAGCAAGGTGGCTGCTGTTACTCAGGACCCTGTGTGAATTGCCAAATGACCAAGAATTGTGCAAGTTCTACCCGTACTACTTCTCTGATAGCTTCCCTTCTGTTACTATTCATAGTTTTTCTGTGAATAATATCAGACAGGGGATGGGGGGGGATAAAACATGAGTCAGGAAAGTTTTACATTTTATCCATTCAACCCAAGTAGCAATCAAAGGAAAGGTGTTGAAGGAAAACAATTTTCATAGGTGGGTGTACCAACATTTTTCCCTGCGGTAGGGACATCTGCTCCTAAAGTTTCCTCTTCTAGACCATTCTGGGTCTACCTTTTGTATATGAAACTGAGCTAAGAGTAAAAGACTTGCTGATGCATCATGCCAATTATTAATGTTTTCCTCACAGACATAGCTATCTGATAAAACCCTCTGATAAACGTAGCTTGTACTGGAGAGAGCTGGTCTGTACTCTCGTGCTCTTCTGGCACAGCCATGTTTTTCTCCTTTATAGGCAAGGCCTAGCTCTGGTTTATAGGTTTAGTCCTTTGGTTGGTGGTTGTCTGGTAAATCTCTCCCCTTGAGGTACAGTAGAAAACTATACCTGTTTTCCAAGTATTTACTTAACTGTCTGTAGGTAAGCTGGAGATACTTTTGTTGAAACTGAGGAGGAGATGGAAATGCCAAATGACTGGTGAAGCTTGCAGGTCTAAACAAGCAGAACTCACTTAGTGCAAGTTGAATTAAAGCAGAATACAAAAAAGTTTTTCCTATAAAATCAAGCTAGTGGCTTCTTATCTGGAGTGCAGCTTATGCAGTGAAGTTGAGTCATTCTTGCTGAGATAGCATTTTAAGAACTGTCGTTAAAATGCTTAGATATTTAACTCTGGCACAGTATAATTTGCAAACTTATGTAACTGGTATGTTTTTGAATGCAGCTGTCAATAAGATCTTATTGCACTTTTCCTTTTTAGTGGAACTAGGGAATATAAAGCAGCTGCTTTCACAAGATGACCTATATATAAGTCATTTAATAATAACATTGCTTACTAAAATATTGACATTATTATTGACTTAATTTTTACATGTTCAGGTCTATTCTGATGTAAAAATACTTTTTTTATGTAATTGGCTAAGCAGAACTGCATTGCAATTAAGTGATTGAATAATTCAGGTTGTGCTATTAAATAAACAAGTTTTGGAATGGCAAGTACTGTAAAATAATTGTATGCATTTTGTCTCTGCAAGCCTGCAACTCATTTTAAAGACTTGAAGAGTAACTATGAAGTCAAGACAATAGTGTCTTAGCATAGCTACACCTGAGCCAAACATTTCTTCTTACTATTGCATGTGTCCTTTTGTAATTTTTGCTTTTTTTTTCTCATAAATCATACCTCACTTTTACATTTTTTTTTTTTGAAACATTGGTGTATCATCTGTAACTTTTTAAATTATGCAACCTGTAGTCTCATTTGTTCTTTTGAAAATTAAGCTCCTTTTGTATACTACTTTGTTGCTGAATTTTTGCTGGTTTCTAGTTTTAGTCAGATGATCCAAATTTCCGTTAAAAATAGTAGGATAAAAATCAAACTAATGTAAAATTTAACCATGCTTAAAACTACAACGCTCTTCCTTTAAAGAATTACAAATTGCAAAGTGTAGTCCGTGGAAACAGTATGTAATCCCTGAAAAAATGCCAGTGGTGTTAGGATATCTACAAGATCCAGAGAATGTACATAAAATGTGATTTTTATGGCATTTTATGTACATTCCATTAGCCAGTGCATAAAAATGTTGTCTTAAGGATTTGTGTATTTGAGCCATGATGTGGTGTAGATCACAGTGGAGATAGCATTATCTATCCCCTTGTAGCTGCTTTATGTTGCTTCTTTTGCTATCTGTCTGTGAAGGAACAATATAGGATTCATTAAGATTTAATATTGCTAGGAAATCATTCAAATCATGAGACTAGGGAGAATGTTTAGACCAAAGAAATTGTAATCAGGGCTGGAGAAGAAAGCAAGTGTGATACCATGGGAGTGAGTAGACTGATTTTTGTTTGTGGGTAGAGGTAGTATCCAGTTGAGTGTTATGGGTGTTAAACCAATGCTATAAGGTCTGCTTTTCTATATTTATATCTGCTAAACTCTACTCGGTGTTAAAACGCGAATTATAGATGTCTGTCAAGTCTCTACCTTTTTTTTTTTTTTAATTCCTGTTTCTGTTTGAACAAGGCTTTGTTTTACTGGGTGATCATTTTAATTATTTTGTTTTCACATATGGGTAAAATTAACTAATGAATATTTCAGCTTGCTACTGACGTCTGCAAAACAGTGTGTTTATAGATAGGCGAAACAGTGGCTCAGATTTTTTTAACAGCTCTTCTAAAAAGGTGTTTATATGTGACTAAAACAGAATAAAAACTTCCTTCATCTACAGATAGTTCCAGTGAAGTACACTTCTACTGTTTAGAGTGTAAACTTTATAGCAGTAGACTAGCAAAAGAGCATCTAAGAGTGATACAAAGGAAAAACCAAAACTGGCTAATCAGGTTTCAATATTGAAATGTAGAGAAATGCTAGCAGTTTACACATAGAGGAAAAAGTACATTAGCCTCTTTATTGCTAAAGTCTTAGTTCTCAGTTCAGGTAAGAATAGTTTAGTAGATAAAAAGCTCTCTAAAGTCTTCTAAGATGATAGCTTACAAACCCAAGAAACTCGAGTGTAACATGGTTTGTATTCTGATAGCTGCAGTTTAAATAAAGCAAAGCACTTAAATGTGCTTACGCTGATACGCCACGTGCAACTGAATTATGTGGGACTACTCAGATGTATGATGTTGCTCTTGTGCTTAAATGTCTTGCTGGATTGTGACCTAGAGGATGAAGTGTGCTTTCATGTTTGGGTCTCAGCTGTAACTTGAAGGATTTTCCGTGTCTGTGCATACAATTCATTTTAACTGCCAACTGTACTTTTGATCTGGAATTTCAGTGGTAATCTGTGTTCTTCTTGACTGTATATCACAGCTATTTCTGCATAAAATTCTGTTGTATTTTTTACTTTAAAAATACCCTAAAATGCAATAGCTGCAAGAAAACTGTGCCAAAGCTCTTTGTGTTTGGAGATGAGTTTAAGGAATTCTCCAGCTGTCTGCTAAGTTAAGTAAAACCGAGTCTTTGGAAAGGGGTGTGCAGAATGTGGAAAAATGTGGGCAGGTAAATGGTTAGTGTTAAATTGTAGGAACATTAATGAAGAAAGAATCAGTTTCTATCATTAAATAATTTTCTGGTTCTCCCAGTTAATTATTATAAGTATTTGGACAGACCCTTTTTAAAAGTCTAGTTCTGCCTCTCTCTGTAAAGAACCATTCTGAGGCTGCTGAATGAGGCCCTGTAAGCTTAGAAAATGCTGGCATTAGCACTGCTTACATTCTGAAGAACCGGTGAATTCGACAATGTCCTCATTTGGTGGCCAGAATATTTAGAGC